TTTCATCTTTTCATTAATATTCTCCCCATTATAGGACTCTGCAACTGCGCACAAGCGCATTATGTCATGTATGCGCACACCCTACATACTATGAAAGAGTTAGCTAGCCTCTAAGACATCAACCTCACTAACTAACACGCGCTATAGTTGGACGGTATACGATTCGACTGATCTTTGATTACAACTCACAATAACTTAACGCCGAGTCTATTGGGCATGAACGAGACAATCAGGAGCGCTTCCTCCCGAGCCCAAACTTGTATTTTTTTATTACTAAAGCAACATATAGATTGTCTGTACTACGAGCTCTATGACCCCAACAGAACATGAAATCTTATGTCTGACACTCACGCCGCCCGCAAACATATGTTTTTGCCAAAGACACTTTGATACGAACATCTCCTTATTAACTTTATTTTACTATTGATATACTAAAATAGCTATATATATTGTCTCTACAACAACATCGTTCATTCCTGCTGTTATTAATCGGGGACATCTTATATGCGTTATACACGAGCGTCGTTTTCGAGCGTCTTTAATAATTTAAAATCGTTTTTGTCTATATTATTGTTTTGACGCCGGCCTGTCCCACACGATCCAAGGAAAAAGAATTATGCTTAATAATTATGTTAAATTAGCTTCAACTTCTATTGTGAATTGATGGTGTTTGAAACCGTTTTGGAATCGAAAACGTTACCGTGTGCATGGTCTAAGCGTTAAGTTTTTATTCCTTTAACCCGGACAAATACATACCAGAGTATTACGAGTTTTACTGGGTTTGCATAAAATATACTTATAACAGCAAAAGGATGTTGATTTGCAATTAAAAACATTAATTGATCAAAACGTTTACGTCTCCACAGTAACCAAAGAGCTGAAAGAAGAACTATAAATTACTTACGTGTTTCATCCATAACGTAATGCTTGACTTGGCCACGAACAACTCTCTGTTGGTTTTTCGTCGGACCATCCAAATGTTTACCATGACTTAAATAATACATGATCCGTTCACATTTCTCTCGTTGCTCACTAAAACGTTTCTCCCCGCTGAGATCGCTTGTCTCACCAGACACAATATTTTCAATCTCATCAGTTTCATGGTCGTTGGCTGCCATTTTAACAACGTGGTGGGGGGTATTTTTCTAATAGCTTGTTTCGATTAGTCGTCTGCACGTGTGTGTATCGAGCGCGAGGGGGACCATTCAGATCAACACAAAATCGTATGAGCCGCTGCCGCTGACTCACGCATGCGCAAACTACAAGGGGAGTCGGGGGAGATCGGGGGAGTGCTCAGACCGCTAAACCGGAACTTCCTGCTAGATTTGTTATACAGGGTGTCTCAAAAAAAAGGTAATCCAACTTCAGCGCGCTTGCGTGCATGAATTACTCCACACACGACCGTAATTTTTGGTATAATAAAAGAACAGAGTGCTAGCTATTGGATGTCTTGCTGTTTGTAAAAATGGGAGAAAAATGAGCAAATACAAGCGCTATGAAAAATCTCAATCGAAATCACATTTTTTCACCTTTGCGTCAAGTTAGACAAAAGAAAGACTAATTAATAACAAAGATGTCAAAACTAGCTCTAATTTATTCATGTTTATTAAAACGTATTTTCACGCGATTATTTAAAAGGCTACACGCCTTCAACGTGTCCACCGTTTCTCTCGATGCAACGTTGACATCTGTGTAGCATTGATTGGACGCCTCTTCTAACTATCACGCGATTGTTCCTCAGCTCGTCAACTTCATTGGAAATTCGGTTTTGTAAGTCGGCAAGATCAACCGGAGGGGTGGTGTACACTTTGCACTTTAGGTATCCCCAAAGAAAAAAATCACAAGGGGTTAGATCAGGGGATCGCGGGGGCCATTCCACATTATGATACAGGACAATTACACGATGACCAAAAAGCTCTCGCAAACGATCACGTACTGCAATTAACCGATGTGCCGGAACCCATCTTGCACCCACCAGAGACTTCTGAATGTTCTATCGATTTGCTGTTGAAAATTCTGCTGAAGTTGAGGCACTACGTCGTTGTTGATCATATGAAGATAAGTCAAGCCATCGATACTCCTGTTAAAGAAAAATGGCCCGATTATCTGACCGTTTCCAGACAGTCCGATCCAAACGTTTAGTTTCTCTCGACTGATGTTAACATCAAAGTTGAATTCTGGCGGTTCTCCTGCGGCTGCATACTCTCTGACGTTATGGCTGTTCACTCTGCCGTTCATCTGGAAACCAGCTTCATCTCCAATGACAAAGGGCCGAAGGAACTGTTCATTTTGCGCGCAACGGTTTATTAGCCATTGTGAAAACTGCATGCGCCGAGCATAGTCTTGGGGCAAGAGTTGGTGTCGAACTTGCATTCGGTAAGGGTGCATCTTAAGGTCCAACCTTGTTATTCGGTTAAATGTGGCATGTGGCAGACCAACACCATTTCGTCTTGCGCTTGTTTCTCTTGGATGTTCTTCCAACCGTTGTCTCACTGCCTCGATATTTGCCTCTGATCGTCCAGTGCGACGTCTCCCGGAGTTTCCTTTGTTTCGGTTCAGAGTCGTGCCGTGTTGTGAAAACTTTCTCACATTTGCCCACATGGTTTTGAGTGCTGGTGGCTGCCGCTGTAAATTTTTTTAACAATGAACGTGCGTTGTTCTGTCGTAAGTTGAACCATCTTCTCTTTACGTGATTGCAATCGGAATAACATTGATTATGCGAATGCACTTCATTCACGTAGTTATTGGGGCATAATTTTCTAAGTCCCAAAGGGCCAAAACAAAGTTTGTTTTCAAAAGGTTTGTACTAAACTCCCAGAGGTGAAAAAATGTGATTTCGACTGAGATTTTTCATCGCGCTTGTATTTGCTCATTTTGCTTCCATATTTTTCAAACAACAATTAAGACATCCTATAGCTAACACTCTGTTCTTTCATGATTCCAAAAATTACGGTCGTTTGTGGAGTAATTCATGCACGCCAGTGCGCTGAAGTTGGATTACCTTTTTTTGAGACACCCTGTACAATATAAATTGTGTTTAAAGCTGTTTCGGCGCAGTTTTTTGGCTCCAGCTTCAATTTTTTATCTCGTTATGTTGTAAAAAACACAACTGCCCTAACTTCAACTAAATTTAGCGTCACAAAATCATACTCTACCAATGTTTTAGGTGGATTATTAGTGATGATACTGTCGTTATCCCATGGACAACAACCTTGCATGAACGACAACAAACCATGTACATGGCGACATTTTAAGAAAATGATTGTTGGTAAGTTTTGTAGTTTCAAAATAATTTGCTATTCTTTTCAGTTAAGATTGAAGAAGTCTTATAATTATATACATACGTTCAGTGCATTTTTTCAAACTTATTTATTTCTATTCATGTTCGGGTTTACTGTTTATTGTTAAAATTGTGAGGGTTTATAGATTAGAACTCCGCTACACCATGCATGCATATAATTTTCTTCGGAATGTACGTATATGTGACACTTTCTTTCATACTAATGGATTGGAAACCAGCTGAATTGAAAACTTACTACCTAGCTGGTATTTTTGTGTGGTAATTTTTGTTATTTTTTGGTTTAAATATTAGGAAACAAAGCGATACGTCGTTTAAACTTGATCTCCAGTCACAATGTCCACCTTGTGGGGGAATGCCATATTCTCTGTACAGGTCATGAAAATTGCTATGGTTACAACTTCAGATCGGAGAGCGATATTTACAGCAAAAACTGTCAATTGAGCAACAGCACTGTAACAATGAACAAAACAAGTAAAAAGAATGGAACTTGGACATTTTACGAGGATGTTCTGGTAAGATTTAGCATGTAAAAATAGACGAAGTTTTAGAAAATTTAATCTACTTTTTCTTGTTCATTCGTGTATAAAATCATAACGTAACTCTCGAGCAAAGATAGCAAAGACCGTTTACGAAAGGAAAAATTGCTTCGCCGTGTGTTGGAAGCGAATTTTTCACGTAGAACCTAGTTTATCAGTTGACAAATTACTGAAAAGCGATCAATGCCGGCCATATTCACTTTGAGTGATTGTACAGGTTTACAGATTATCTTAACTTCTGTGTTTTTATTTTTTCCCTCTAGGTCACGCAAGGTAAGCAAAATTTTAGAAATATGCACCAGTAGCTTAGCAAGCCCTAAGATAGTTGGTATTTTGTTACAAAAGTCACTTTTTTGCACCATTGTTGACTTTTATTTTCTTGTAATAACTTAATAGACATTAATGAGTGTTCCAATAAATCAAGCTATGATTGCGACGGAAATGCAAATTGCAACAACACTCCAGGTTCCTATGAATGTCTTTGCATTAACGGATACTCCGGGGATGGACGCACTTGTACAGGTATAATTATGTCACTTGTACAGGTATAATTATGTCACTTGGACTGGTATAATTACGTCACTTGTACTGGTATAATTATGTCACTTATACAGGTATAATTATGTCACTTGTACTGGTATAATTACGTCACTTATACAGGTATAATTACGTCACTTGTACTGATGTAATTACCTCACTTGTACTGGCATAATCATGTCACTTGTACTGGTATAATTACCTCACTTGTACTGGTATAATTTTTAGAGCTAATTATTTCTTATTGTGGATGTCATTGTTTGACTAACTAATGTAATAAATTTCAACTCAGATGTTAACGAATGCTCTGAGGGGACCCACACATGCGATGAAAATGCTGATTGTAGCAATACTGATGGTTCCTTCAATTGTAAATGTCAGATTGGGTACACAGGAGACGGAAACGCTTGCACAGGTATAATTGAAAATACGAGTTACACCATGCCTGCCGAACACGCATATTTACCACATTCAGACGTATGTAGGCGCTCGTGTTTCTCTTTATTACTTTCATGATTTATTAAAAAATTTCAATTAAACTGCTGCACTATTAATTTATCTGTATTTTTGCAATCGAATAATGAAATTAGTGTTTTGTTTATTCAATTTCGATTTTGACTTGACAGATGTGAACGAGTGTTCTTCTAGTGTCTGTGACTCAAATGCTGATTGTACCAACACAGTTGGTTCCTACACGTGCCAGTGTCGAAATGGTTATTCTGGAAATGGTCATACATGTTCAGGTATAGTTTCTTGAGGCGTTTCCATAATTCTCACTGCTGGCTTTGAAGTAACTTACCCAATTTTCTCGCTCCACTAAGTGCTCTTTTGAAGAATGAATTTAATTTTCGTTAATACAATTTCGATTTTGACTTGACAGATGTGAACGAGTGTAGTTCTAGTGTCTGCGACTCAAATGCTGATTGTACCAACACAGTTGGTTCGTACACGTGCCAGTGTCGAAGTGGTTATTCTGGAAATGGTCAAACATGTTCAGGTATGTATAATTTCTTGGGGCGTTTCCGTAATTAATTCTTACTGCTGGCTTTGAAGTAACTTACCGATATTTTCTCGCTCTTATAAGTGCTCTTTCAAAGAATTAATTTAATTTTGGTTGATTCATTTTCGATTTTGACTTGACAGATGTAAACGAGTGTTCTTCTAGTGTCTGTGACCCAAACGCTGATTGTACCAACACAGTTGGTTCCTACACGTGTCAGTGTCGAAATGGTTATTCTGGAAATGGTCAAACATGTTCAGGTAACGTCTCACACACGAGCATGATTTCGTCATTGGTTTTTTATCAAAGAGAATTGTTCATTGTCAGTATGGCTGTAATTATTGCTTTGACAGACGTTAACGAGTGCTCTCTGGGAACACATTCATGCTCTTCAAACGCTAATTGTTCTAACACCGTTGGATCCTACACGTGTCAGTGTCGAAATGGTTATTCTGGAAATGGCCAAACATGTTCAGGTAGAGTGGAAATTTACATTTGTAGTTTCAACTTGTTTTCAGCTCAAGAATAGCCCTTACAAATATGAAACTAGTTTTCGTTGATTAATTCGCTATCTTGATTCAACAGATGTGAACGAGTGCACTTCTAGTGTCTGTGACTCAAATGCTGATTGTACCAACACAGTTGGTTCCTACACGTGCCAGTGTCGAAATGGTTATTCTGGAAATGGTCAAACATGTTCAGGTATAGTTTCTTGAGGCGTTTCCATAATTCTCACTGCTGGCTTTGAAGTAACTTACCCATATTTTTCTTGCTCTACTAAGTTCTCTTTTGAAGAATGAATTTAATTTTCGCTAATTCAATTGTAATTTTGACTCAACAGATGTGAACGAGTGTTCTTCTAGTGTCTGTGATTCAAATGCTGATTGCACCAACACAGTTGGTTCCTACACGTGTCAGTGTCGAAGTGGTTATTCTGGAAATGGTCAAACATGTTCAGGTAGAGCTTGCATTGAAATGTTTTGTAATTTAAACTGCTGTACCCAAATTAGGTACTCCATATTTATATTTTAACACTTAAATAATCGCTCTTCCAAGCATGAATACAGTTTTTTTCAATTCAATTGCATTCCTGACTGGACAGATGTGAACGAGTGTTCTTCTAGTGTCTGTCACTCAAATGCTGATTGTACCAACACAGTTGGTTCCTACACGTGTCAGTGTCGAAATGGTTATTCTGGAAATGGTCAAACATGTTCAGGTAGAATGGAAATTCATATTTGTAATGTCAACCTGTTGCCAGCTCAAGAATAGCCCTTCCAAATATGAGACTAGTTTTCGTTGATTGATTTGCTATCTTGACTCAACAGATGTGAACGAGTGCACTTCTAGTGTTTGTCACTCAAATGCTGATTGTACCAACACAGTTGGTTCTTACACGTGCCAGTGTCAAAATGGTTATTCTGGAAATGGTCAAACATGTTCAGGTATAGTCACCATGGACGCGTTTCTACAATTTTAGCTGCTGGCATTAAAGTAACTTACCGATATTTTCTCACTCTAATAAGCGCTCTTTTCAAGAATGAATTTAATTTTCGTTAATTCAATTGCGATTTTGACTTGACAGATGTGAACGAGTGTAGTTCTAGTGTCTGTCACTTAAATGCTGATTGCACCAACACAGTTGGTTCCTACACGTGTCAGTGTCGAAGTGGCTATTCTGGAAATGGTCAAACATGTTCAGGTTGAGTGGAAATTCATATTTGTAGTTTCATCTTGTTGTCAGCTGAAGAATAGCCTTTCCAAATATGAAACTAGTTTTCGTTTATTCATTCGCTATCTTGACTCAACAGATGTGAACGAGTGTTCTTCTAGTGTCTGTGACTCAAAGGCTGATTGTACCAACACAGATGGTTCCTACACGTGTCAGTGTCGAAATGGTTTTTCTGGAAATGGTCAAACATGTTCAGGTAGAGCTTGTATTCAGATGTTTTGTAATTTGAACTGCTGGACCCGAATTAAGTACTCCATATTTATATTTTAACACCTAAATAATCCATCTCCCAAGAGTGAATACAGTTTTTTTGGTATTCAATTCCATTCCTGACTTGACAGATGTGAACGAGTGTTCTTCTAGTGTCTGTCACTCCAAGGCTGATTGTACCAACACAGATGGTTCCTACACGTGCCATTGTCGAGGTGGTTATTCTGGAAATGGTCAAACATGTTCAGGTATAGTTTCTTGAGGCGTTTCCATAATTCTCACTGCTGCATTTGAAGTAACTTACCGATATTTTTCTCGCTCTGCTAAGTGCTCTTTTGAAGAATGAATTTAATTTCCGTTAATTCAATTGTAACTTTGACTTGACAGATGTAAACGAGTGTTCTTCTAGTGTCTGTGATTCAAATGCTGATTGTACCAACACAGTTGGTTCCTACACGTGCCAGTGTCGAAATGGTTATTCTGGAAATGGTCAAACATGTTCAGGTTGAGTGGAAATTCATATTTGTAGTTTCATCTTGTTGTCAGCTGAAGAATAGCCTTTCCAAATATGAAACTAGTTTTCGTTTATTCATTCGCTATCTTGACTCAACAGATGTGAACGAGTGTTCTTCTAGTGTCTGTGACTCAAAGGCTGATTGTACCAACACAGATGGTTCCTACACGTGTCAGTGTCGAAATGGTTTTTCTGGAAATGGTCAAACATGTTCAGGTAGAGCTTGTATTCAGATGTTTTGTAATTTGAACTGCTGGACCCGAATTAAGTACTCCATATTTATATTTTAACACCTAAATAATCCATCTCCCAAGAGTGAATACAGTTTTTTTGGTATTCAATTCCATTCCTGACTTGACAGATGTGAACGAGTGTTCTTCTAGTGTCTGTCACTCCAAGGCTGATTGTACCAACACAGATGGTTCCTACACGTGCCATTGTCGAGGTGGTTATTCTGGAAATGGTCAAACATGTTCAGGTATAGTTTCTTGAGGCGTTTCCATAATTCTCACTGCTGCATTTGAAGTAACTTACCGATATTTTTCTCGCTCTGCTAAGTGCTCTTTTGAAGAATGAATTTAATTTCCGTTAATTCAATTGTAACTTTGACTTGACAGATGTAAACGAGTGTTCTTCTAGTGTCTGTGATTCAAATGCTGATTGTACCAACACAGTTGGTTCCTACACGTGCCAGTGTCGAAATGGTTATTCTGGAAATGGTCAAACATGTTCAGGTATAGTTTCTTGAGGCGTTTCCATAATTCTCACTGCTGCATTTGAAGTAACTTACCGATATTTTTCTCGCTCTGCTAAGTGCTCTTTTGAAGAATGAATTTAATTTCCGTTAATTCAATTGTAACTTTGACTTGACAGATGTAAACGAGTGTTCTTCTAGTGTCTGTCACTCAAATGCTGATTGTACAAACACAGTTGGTTCCTACACATGTCAGTGTCGAAGTGGTTATTCTGGAAATGGTCAAACATGTTCAGGTAGAGTGGAAATTCATATTTGTAGTGCCAACTTGTTGTCAGCTTAAGAATAGGCTTTCAAAATATGAAACTAGTTTTCGTTGATTAATTCGCTATCTTGATTCAACAGATGTGAACGAGTGCATGTCTGGTGTCTGTGATTCAAATGCCGATTGCACTAACACAGTTGGTTCCTACACGTGTCAGTGTCGAAGTGGTTATTATGGAAATGGTCAAACATGTTCAGGTGTGTGCAAAGAGGCGTTTCTGTAATCTTGATTGTTGATTTTAAAGTACCTTATCAGTATTTTCTCACTCAAATAATTGCTCTTCATGAAAATATTTGGTTTTCTTTTATTCATTCTGATTTTGACTTGACAGATGTGAACGAGTGTTCTTCTAGTGTCTGTCACTCAAATGCTGATTGTACCAACACAGTTGGTTCCTACACGTGTCAGTGTCGAAATGGTTATGCGGGAAGTGGTCAAACATGTTCAGGTAACGCCTCACACACGAACATGATTTCGTCATTGGTTTTTTATAAAAAAGGAATTGTTCCTTGTTAGTATGCCTGTAATTTTTGCGTTGACAGATGTTAACGAGTGCTCTCTGGGAACACATTCATGCTCTTTAAATGCTGATTGTTCTAACACCGTTGGTTCCTACACGTGTCAGTGTCGAAGTGGTTATGAAGGTGACGGGAAATCTTGTACGTATATTCTAGATGCAAAATACAATTTATTCATAATTCAAATTTATGTCCAAAATAGGTAATTAAACGCAATGTACTATGTCGAATTTATCTCCTTTTATTAGACATAGTAAAATAAAGTAATTGTCAAAGTAAACGCTCAAACGCAATGGTGTCACGCTGTATTTTTATGCGATTAAATTATAATTTTGACTGGACATATTTTTTCATAGTTACTAACAAGCTTAATACTGCTTAAACATAATGAGTTAACAAAAAAAGTTTGATAAGTCAGTGGACTAATGGCGTAGGAAATTAAAATTAAGTAAATCGACAGCTATGAAATCAAGGGTGTGAATATTCATTATTTAGAGTATGAATTATTACCAAAAATACCAAATATTATATTCCGCTTAAGTTGGTAATTGTGATTTGGAATTTTTGTATTTTAATTGTTTTTTGGTTTTCTCTTGCGTAACATCAGTTGAAAGCAATTCTTCCAACTTTCTAAATTTACCCATTTTTTAGGGCAACCCTCCAGGTTCCCTTAGGAGAATGTATGGTTCATTTAGAAAGAGACTTTTTTACTGTTTAGGTGTTTTTGTGAGAATAAGATTGGCTGGCACAGCAGGTGTTGCAAACAAAGGCCGAGTAGAAATCTATCATCCATCGTATGGTTGGGGAACAGTATGTGATGATACGTTGGATTTGCAGGATGGTCATGTAATTTGTCGTCAGCTTGGTTACCAAGGAGCTACTGCTTTTTATCATGGCGCACACTATGGTGAAGGAACTGGTCCTATTCTGTTGGATGACACACAATGTTCAGGACACGAGACTTATATTTGGGATTGCGGACACCTTGGATGGAACGTCCACAACTGTCATCACTATGAAGATTCGAGTGTAGATTGCTACTAAAGTTTTCGCCCATTTTCAAATTCAGTGCGATTATTTGTAATCGTATTAAGGCCCAAACAGACAGAACGTGAATTGGCAACGCGGCGCGAATTTTCAACGTTTTATATTTTTCAAAAGCAAATAAATTTTAACTTATCAAAATTTTCTTGTAGATTACATAAAAATAATAAATTTTGATTGCTCTAGCGTCCATAGATTCAAAATTTTGATCCCAGAATTCAATATATATGCTTCTGAAAACCGAAAATTCGCGTCGCGTTGCCGCCTCGCGTCCGGTCTGTTTCTCTGTAAGAAAATTGCGAAAACGTGGGAAACCTGTGTGACATTAGTCAAATGATTAAATTAATCCTTTTAATGTCCACGTGGAATGCAAAGCAAGGGAAAAAGCCTCCAGAAAAACGTTGAGTGCAATAGGGATAATTGAAACTTACAACGTAGTAGTAGTAGAATAAAAGCTGAGTATACCAAGATGATTGCTTTAAAATGCCGAGACATTTAGAAACAGCGCATAATATCTTTGTACCTCACATGAGGACGTACAAAATACGTTAAGATTAATGCAGTTTTATAACCACAGCGTTCAATACAAAAATCAAATTATTATGATGCAAAATATTACGATGATTTATAAATTAACGAATAAAATCCATTCAAACACCATTCTTTTGCGTATTCTTTTGCAAAACCCTGTAAGGACCAGAGATAAACCAATTATATCTTTTATGTGCATTAATTAACATATTGTTCACCTAATTTTTCAAAAATTCTGAGACCTGCAGATAAAAAATTATGATTTATAATTTTCCCCTTTTTTGCAGGTAAATAACCATGCAGGACCAATACAATATAGGTTCATATTAGGTTGTCGTGTTGTTGTCATGGCGAGAAATTTTGGACACGCACGCGCGGTAGATACACAGACTTCGGGAGATTCGAAACAATATGGCCACGCGAAATCACACGGCTTTATTAGGGTTATATTAAAAATGTGGCCTTACCTCTAAACTTTTTAAAAATGTGAAAATGTTCTATCTGATTCTGTTTTTAGACGTAAAACTTGATATTTTGATATCATGGATGATATTTAGATGTTAATACTTCTTGCAGTTTTGCAGGAAATAGCCAACGGCTATTAAAGTATAGAAAAACACCATTCATAGCGTCGAAAGTTGTTTTGACCGTTGAACTTGTAAGATTTTCGCGCGATCGGGCCACGATGACCAAAATGTTCTATCGGTTTTCTAAACTCCGAGCGATGATTTTGAACACCCATCAGTGCAAAAATGTGAAGAATATATATGTCTTGCGGTTTTTAGCTTCAAAATCAGCAAATTTCAACGTTATATTTTCATCAAAACTGACCTTTTTCCCCAAAAAACTCTTCAAAAAATAACTGAAATTGTTCTTCATCGTCCATATTTGCTAGGCAACCAAGCCTTGACCTGTTGCCATGGTTTTAAGGCATATTCGAACTTTTTTGTCGCATTTTAGGGTATTTAGAATGTGATATATCGTGTGTATTTCACTTGTGATTCGTTAGAATAAATTAGAACAATTTATTCGTTAGAATAAATTAGAACCCCCCTGTGCGTGTCCAAAATTTCTCGCCATGTTTGCTGTTCATCCTAAATTTAATGTTAGCTAGCGTACCAAAATATTGGAAACTAAATATACTGAAAACAAGATATATGAGGAACTACATTTGCTTTATAGGCTTATATGTAGGCTACCTAGCTACTCTTAAAACAAAGATCAGATTTAGCTCAGGTTTCATTCAGGTTAAAAAATATTCAGGTTTCAAAATCTGATCACTCAATTTAATAGGATCTATAATCCAAATCTTAGTAAATATCAGAGAAACTGAACAATATTATTGAACAGAAAGCATTACAGCCATGGTTGTCAAAAAATGTAATATACATTTCTAGTTAACACTCTATCGCTTGTTCAAACTGAAGACATTGTTACAGCATGTAGCAATACATAGCTATCACACAGTGCAATCTAGGCAAAATGGCGTCCATGTTTTATACACTTCTCTGATGTGGAAAATTATAAGTGTGTTATGCTGTCAAAGAATGGTTTAATAGTTGCTTTTTAAAATCCAAATGACATTATTAGTGGAACTAATAGTTGTGGTCTGCATAGATTACAAATGGACTGCAATCTTGTCGGTTGCAGCTCACAACAGAAACTTATTTTTATCAATGAAACAGTACAGAAATTAGTTTGACCAGATCTGGTACATTGTTTACCAGATCTGATAGGTTAATTGGCACATAGACAGCACCGTCTGATTTTAATAGGGAGCTTTAGCAGTGACTACGAGTACGACTACGAGTACGAGATTCGTCATTCTCGCGCGTTGTTTGCTTACGCCATCAGCCAAAACTCGTAGTCGCCGGGCTTTTGAGTACGAAATTTGCCAAAAAACTCGTACTTAAAAGCCCAACGACTACGAGTTTTGGCTGATAACGTAAGCAAACAGGGCGCGAGGATGACGAATCTCGTACTCGTAGTCGTACTCGTAGTCACTGCTAAAGCTCCCTAATACCTTGCAAGTCGGCAGAAAAGATATTTGCAACTCGTATATTCGTATTCGCAGCTAACGCTTTTCTTATGTATCATTTTCTGAAGTACAACAAGATGAGATGAGCATGATTATAATTATCAACATTTACTGACTTACATGAGTGACGTGGAGTGTGTCGTGACCGCTCAAGCTGGTGATTCGACTATTGGAAGCTACTCAAGATCAAAATCGCTTCCAAATAAAGAAAAGGTTGCCGTTGGTTCCATCTCACAAGGCAAGTGATATTTGCCAGTAGTTTTAGAGCTTCCAGCTGCGGCATCATCGGCATTTATCTTTTTTTTTCGCGATCTCTTTCGTTTCCTCTTCTTTCTTTTCTATTTTGCAGTACGAGTTGTTGTCGAGCTTTCACCTAAATTGAAAATTGAAGCTCAGGTCAGGTTGAAACTTCCAACAACAAATTTTAGTTGATCCGTGATTCGGATTGACTAATTCCATAAATATCTTCTACAATACACGACAATGTATGATATAAATAATGACCTAAAATGAAAATATAACAGACCTTCACAGATTGTCAGTGGCTATCGATGAACCAACACAAGACAACTACAACTAGGGACCGGACGAGTGCTTCCACAAGGCATACTGAAATGCCTCTTTAATTTCTGTGATAAATGTTGGAATATTTGAATAGTTATATCTGGAGAAAGTGCTTCTCGAATTTCAGAAGCTTGCCACCTTCAATGGCTGCCTCTTTTTGAAGCAAACAACATAGCGGTCGGCGGATTTTGGCATTTGCTGACGCCAGAATGACGACACAGGCCAATACACACGCCAAATGCTTCTTATTTGCCAGGGTAGTTACCACTGACCAGGCTCAAACCTTAGCCCGTTTCGAGAATATTTCCCTCCTAGGTTTTTTGGAAATTTTTATTTTGTGCGAAACCTCGTTGTTTTTAAATATTTTCTATATTTAAGAAATAGAAAACATTTTCTGTGTTTCTATACAGTTATAGAAACACGCGTGGGAGTTTGGGAGAACAAGAAATAATCACGCGCCCTTTCAGTAGCCGACAATACGAAGCTAGCATTTCTGCATAATAATGACATAATTTGATTTATAAAAAGCTGACCTAGATAGATATACCCAGAGAGTGTGAACTTTCCCAGGAACAAAATTCCCAAAAAAAGAAAATTATAAATTCATAGTTTAGAAATTTTACTGCTATACAATTTTGGCTTGCTTGGTATATATAGAACAGCTACAATCATGGAAAAATTACTTGGAGACTCTTTGTTAATTTGACTAAAAATCTATTATAAAATGCTATAATCGTACATTTTCCCTAAATTACTTAATGAATGACCTTCAATGCTCAATTCCCCCTTCTTCCTGAACAATTTTGAATAAAATAAAGTAACTTCCCAACATACAATGCACCAGTCAGCTAGGTTTCAGTTTTCTAATGAGAATTCGTTTAAGCTTAGAAAGGACGAAACACTACATGAATAAGTTCCCCAACTTCCTACTTTAGTATGAACCATAGTGTAACTTTTGATGACGTCATAATAGGCAGGTGTTGTTCATGCGAAACTGCATGGATGAATATGCATAAAATATATTACAGTTGTCCCACGGATGTCATAATTCCCACATTCTTGTCTACAAACTAGGAAGAAGTGAACAACCTAATTTTTATCAAATTCGTGAATTCTTAGTTTACAACAAAAAACGAAGTTCGTTTTTCAATATTTTGGATTGGGTAAACGCCACAAAATGTATGTCGAATTTAACTCAATCGTTATGGCAAGTATATCGCCATTATATACAGGTGACATATATGCAGATGTAGTTAAAAAAATAATCATGTATTTAAAAAAATAATCATATGTACTTAGCAAACTGTCAACAGTTCAAGACGAACAAACGACATTAAATACATAAGTGCCGACTGCTTAAAAACATTTGGAAAACGTCATTGTTGGTAAATTTGTAAAAGTTTGTAGCAGCGATTTAAAACGAAAGTGCATGTACTGACATAATACGCTCTATACTCTATACATTACTCTGTGCCAAAGTATCTCAGAAAGAATGCATAACGCATTTATTTATCACAATATTAGGGTGCGGAGATCTCTATATTGCTTTTTTTTCAAAACTTTGCTTTTATTCACCGTTCAATACACTGCTTTTAGTAAACCATAATTCAATAACAGACAGTTCTAGCAATTCAAAATTAACAAAAATATATATTTTTTGCCAATGCCAAATCTGTTAAATTAACGAGCATTTGCTAAGAATCGTTGCCTCATACAGGCACACGAAGATGTTGTGACAAGCGGATCCCGGATCCGGTGTCGTGGGAACGCAGCCTAAGGGCTGTTTCCGACTGTCCCGTTTTTTGTTCGTGCACGCACGTAAATTTTAAAATAATTCAAATGATACTTATGAGATCAACGATTGAATAGATGAATAGGGTTATATTCTGTTGATGATTTGGTGTGTTTTTTGGCATAAAACTAACTATATAGAGCAACTTAGAAAGTTTTGAGCTTTATACGTGCGCGTAACGTTATACATG